TTGATCTTCTTATTAGTTCTATTGTTTGCATTGATTAATATTAAAGATGCCTACCTTTATCATCTTGCTTAAACTCACATCACAATTATTCTATGCGATTTGCCTTAATCTAAATAATAAGTAAAATTAATTAGAGAAATAAGAAGTTTAGTTAAAATTGTAATAAATTATGTCCATGTTTAAGTGCATGACATCAATTAGGATCTCTTATAAGGCTGCACTAAATACATGCCACTCTTTCAATAGGTGAAGAAGTGTTTACTCTAACCTTTTTCTCCAGAAAATCTCCCTTTCACCTTTTTTTCTGTAACAACTTATATCGCAATTCATACACACCCCTTGCAGTCACGCTGCTTCGGTCACTCAAGTCCTCAAGTTTGTACTTTGCATAGATCCCGTTTATCATTGTACTCAAGCCCGCATTTCCTCCCTAAATCTATTACCTTTTGCCACTTGCTTGACTGCTTCCTTTCTTGCCTGCATTGTTTGCATTTAAAGCGCCTAGCCCTACTCTACTTGGACGTTTCTCTAGGATTTCTCTAACGTGCTGTCAATCTCTCGACACTGCTTATGCTTTTGCTTGCAAGCCACACCTTCCTCTTCTTTGCATTCATCCACACCCGACGTTGCAGTTGCGTCATATTGTCATGTGCTTTGTGCCTTTTATGGTACAAGTGTGATTGTATTGCCACTCCGCAGACAACTGGCTTAAAATAAAGCATCAAATAGTCTGGCCAATACATTTGATTAACATCATATTCTTAAAATTTCACCTCAAGCTTTTTGGTTCGCTTTTTTATTTCATGACATCTATTTAACAAAGATATATGAATGTTCAAGATGCAAATTTTATATAAGAAATTTATGTGAAAACAAGAAAATGTATATATAGAGTTCTTAAATTGTTGATATTAGTTATGTAATCAACATTTTTAATTGACATGTTTCATGAAGTTCATTACCAGGATCCCTTGGAAGGAGAACATTGTTGTGTATATGCTGTAAATTTAGTTTGATATTATTTAACAAAATATTGCTTAGAGATTCTTGATGATAAATAGATTCACTCCAATGAATTCGAGTATATCTATTGATCTTTTATGGGTTATTCAACTCTGGCCTAGTAAAATTTTTCTCAAAAGGAAAAAAAATGTACTCATTTCATGTGTATGTTCAAGACTTCAATCCCTTCAATTTCTAGTGCTCCATCAATGCCAAATAATTCCATTACCTTCTTATTTATGCCAAATAGTTCCATTACGTTCTTATTTATGCAATGAGCCAAAACATGACTTATTACTAGTAGTAGCTAAGAAAAATTATAATGCTTGAAGACGAACTCAAGCTAAACTCGGACAGGATGCCTTTTTAGAGTTCCTTTTTCATCTTACTAGTCACAAATCTTTATTGATATTTCTTGAATCTTTTAGATGGAGATACTAGTGCCTCGGCTTCCTATAATGCTACTCTCGCTATCGTAGATTGAGTTCAATTTCTCATTTCTGCCACTATCATGTGACTGAGATATTCCATGCTATCTTAAAGATTACTTGTGATGCATGGTTCCAATCAAGCTTGAAGTCTTTATATTTTATTTTCTATATTCAATTTGTGCATGACACATACTCAAAATATCTTCATGAAATGCTTCCTCGATCTACATTATGACGGCTAGACTTTTCATAATGAGCTTCTATGTAAGTGTTTTGGAGTATAGTTTCCTGGCCCAAGGAAATCATTGCAATAATTTTCAATAATTTTTAAATTTCTTAGGATTTTAGTTGCGTTTATTTATTTTATTAGAAATATTATCCTTTTAGGATGATCTCAGATTTGAATTTACATTATTTGAATTAATATAGTGTAAATAGGCTTCTATTTTTGAATTCAAAGAATTGGTTTTATCATTGTAGCGTATTTCTACAAGTAGAGATTTAGATTTGTAACTTGTAAATGGCTGAATGGATTGGATTAAATGTATTTGCTAAACTCCTCTTTTTTTTTTTTACACTTGTTGGCTTCTATTTGTTCTCATCTCCTCTTACTCTCTTTCTCCCGATGCCCAAATTTTCTTCTTGGTATTTTTTTTTTTGGCATCATATCCCTTTTCACTTTAACACTTTCCCTTTCTATTAATCTTATGGCTCACTGTTCGATGTCTTTTATTTTTAATTTTTTGACCCAAAATTAGATAACTCTTGTATTGCACTTACCACTTATCTTCACAAATACCTTGGATGGGTGCTACTCCCTGTAACTGTTAAAGGACATTTATTGTGCCTCTAGTGAAATTAATCTTGACAAGCCCCTTCTTATTGTTGTAGTTCTCAAGTTGGAGACTCATTAATGGACTCATTATCTATTTTTTTTTATTTTGATGTATTTAATTTGTACTTGTCATCGTTATTATGATTTCCAGAAATTTAGTGATACATTTTTTGATTTGAGTGGTGAAATATATGAAATCAAGGTTTTCATGGTGTTGGATTTGTAACTGTTACTATGCTATCTTTATTATGGAGATTTTGAGTAGAGCAACATAATTTGTTGATAGAAGATGGAGTATTTAAACCCAATTACAATCGACACAATAAAGGAAAGAAATAAAATAGAATAAAATAAAATAGAAAATACATAATGGAGGAATAAAAGCTAATAACAAGTAATAATAAGTAAAAATGAATAGAGATTCTCGTTATAAATCTAATAGATGCTAGTCATGTTCAACTTGGATTTGAATTCATTGAACAAAGGACGAAGATGATTCTTGGTGAGGATATCTGCTAGTTGACTATTGAAGGGCACAAAAGGAACACAAATTTTCCTAAACCCAATTTTTTCTCTAGTGAAGTGTTTGTCAATCTACACATGTTTGGTACGATCATGCTGGATTGAATTGTGAGCGATGCAGATGACGAATTTATTATCACATAATAGTTGTATTGAGACAAAAGTTGGCATATGTTCACGTAGCATGATGTGTAACTAGAGAGCTTCACAGATCTCCAAGGACATGGATCAAAATTCAATTTCAGCACTACTGCGGGCAATCATTTACTGTACAAGGTTTCCTCATATTAAGGAGTAGTACCTTGATGTGGACGTCGATCATGTACCGATCAGGCCCAATCAACATCCGTGTAAACAACAATAGTCCGAGAGGTGTGATGAGAGAAAAACAAACCTGAGTCTGGTGTACTTAAATAACGAAGAATCTGGTGAACAACTTGAAGATAGTGTTCATAGGGGTCATGCATAAGTTCTTAAATAGCGAAGAATCTGGTGAACAGCTTGAAGATAGTGTTCATAGGGGTCATGCATAAGTTGACTTATTATACCAATTACGTGGCATATGCCGAGGTGAGTATGAGTGAGGTAGATAAGTTTCTTCACAAAGCGCTGGTAATTAGTCTTGTTGACAGACACAATATTTGTGAATTTCTAATAATTTTTCATTTTGATCCATAGGAACAATAACAAATTTGCACAAAAGAAAGTTGTTTTTGTTAACAGATCAATCGCATATTTGCGCTGAGACAGACAAATGCACCGATATGACCGAACCACTGTCATGTCTAAGAAGTACCAGAGAGATTCGAAGCCTTTCATTTCAAAGGATGTAATAAGAATATCATTCAAAGATTTTAATGCTGGGAGATCGTTACGTGTAAGAGTAATATCCTCAACATAGATAATAAGGACATCTATCTGACTATTAGAGGAATGTAGAAAGAAGAGAATGTGATCTGATTGAACCCAAGTAAAATCGTGGCTCATGGACGCCTTTGTGAACTTGTCGAACTAGGCTCTTGGGGACTGCTTTAGCCCATAGATGGACTTTCTCAGTCTGCATACTTGCCCTCTAGAGACAATAGAGTTAAAGCCAGGAGTGAGAAAGATGTACACCTCTTTTGTAAGCTCTCCATTTAAGAACACATTTTTGGCATCTAGTTGTATAAATGTCAATCCAGATTCACCGCAACAGGTAAAAAAACCCGAATAGTATTTAACTTAGCAATTGGAGTGCCTCCTGAAAGTCAATTTCATAGATCCATGAGTACCCTTTTGCGACCAATCATTCCTTGTTTCATTCAAAGGATCCATTTGAATTTAACTTGGTGTTGAAAATCCATTCCTGAAAGACATAAGAAAGGTTGGCAAGAGGGATGTCCAACGACTGAAAAAAAGAAGAGGAATCCCTGTAGGGAGGCTGGCTAGAGGAGTTGCTGGGCTTAGCAGTAGAAAGAAGCGGCAGATAGTTCTTTGTCGGCAGGAAGGATTGGTGGGAAGAGCACAGGGCCGGTTGGAAGGTTTAGCGGCAGGAAGGATCTGCGGCTGGATGGTGATTGCCGGCATGCTACATGAGAAGACTTGCAGGTGGCCGGTAGCTAGGGTGGAACCTCCAGGGCTAGAACCATGACTTTGATGCCATGTTGAGTTTGTGACTTGATCAACATAATTTTATTGTTAGAAGACGGGGTGTTTTAACCCAATTACAGTCGTCATAATAAATGAAAGAAATAAAACACAACAAAAATAAAATTGGAAATACATAATGAAGGAATAAAGGCTAATAACAAGTAATAATTAGTAATAATGGCTCGGGATTGCCGTTATAAATCTAATATTTATCTAGAACTAATTTGTGTTTCAACAAATCTTTAAATTTAGTTAGCAAAGGCCTGGATGACTTTTGTTTATTTGGAAATTTGATATAAGCAAATAGTCATGCTAAGCTGAACCAGTGCAGCAGAATTTAATTCTAAAATGACAGACTAACCTAAATTAAAGATAGGAAATGTTTGAATGAAAAATTTCCATTCTGACATTAGAAAGATAAATATTGTTCCTGTTTGTGATGCTGTTTCTTTGATGCTTTTTGGTCCTTTTTTTTTCCCTTGTTATTTAAGTAGCTTAAAAGAAACTTTACATGCGATAGACATTCCAGTTGACATTTGGATTTTTTAGTTTTCATCATTTTGGTAAACTGGGTTTTACAGGTGAAAGCCATCTATGTGAAAAACTTGCCAGAAAGTGTTACATCAGAAAAATTGAAGGAAACTTTTGAACGGCATGGGGAGATTACAAAAGTTGTTCTGCCGCCGGCTAAAGCTGGACAAAAGAGAGACTTTGGATTTGTTCATTTTGCTGAGAGATCTAGTGCTCTGAAGGCAGTCAAAGGAACCGGGAAATATGACATTGATGGTGATTTTCATGCATCTTGAATAAGCTGTATTTATGTGTCGGTCGGAAGATTTAGTTACAGACGACTCAATTCCTATATATTTACATATTTTACACCTAAACTTCAATTTTTTACATATACGCCACCTTACCTATGTATGGAAAGGCATATTCCACTTTCTAAAAGTCAAAATAGTGGTATTTTTGATGTGATATGAAAGATTTGGGTGGCATTAATGCAAAGAGTAAATTTTAGTTGTTAGATTGCAAATACATAGGAATTGGGTAGCTGAAATCATAGATTCTACAAGATATTTATTAATAGGGATAATTACATACATAGCACTAAAGTTTAGGTGCTGGATATGCATATACATAAGAATTGTGTTGCTATGCATGTAAGCGTGACATTTTTTTCTTTAGGAGTAATTTTCTTAAACTGAAGAAATGAGTTCTTGTTCTTGTTTTTTGTTCATGATAAGTAACCCACCTGCAGGCACTGTTGTTGGTCAGTTCATCAGATAATTTTCTATGCCATGTTTGTAATAACGTTAATGTGGCTTTTGTACGTACTACAGGAAATGCAATAGAGGTTTCCCTGGCAAAACCTCAAACGGACAAGAAGTTGGAAAGCCAGCATAAGCCTGGAATCCTTCCAAGTTATCCTGCACTTCCTCATTACGGCTACCCTGCTGATCCTTATGGAGCTTATAGTGGTGGATATGGTGCAACTGGATTCAGACAGGTTTGTTTTTTGCCTTTTTTTAATAATTGTTTTTTTGGGGACTTATTTACATGCCACACAATTCTCATATAGTTACATGTCTAACACCTATACATTTATATTTATTTATATAACATTTCATTTCTAAACATATGAAATTATCACTGACATTTCATTGTCTACATGGGACAATTGTAGTCCCAGAGTTTCTAGAAGTTTTAAATCAGTCTGCATAAATTTTTAATGGAGGATAACATAGTCCTCATTAGGAATTATTTCAACCAATATTATTAAAAGAGTTTGGAGACTAAATTCCAAATAGTTGAGGACATTTTTTAAAACAAAATACACCTTTTATTTATTTCCTACTTACTGCTGTTGTATTTTTCATCATGCAGCCTATGATATATGGGAGAGGTCCTATGCCTGCTGGAATGAGAATGGTGCCAATGGTTCTTCCAGATGGGCGCCTTGGTTATGTTCTGTAAGAAACATTGATTTTATTGCTTTTTGGACAAGTTTTTATGTAAATCTTTCTTCCATTATGATACCAAAATACTCTTCCATTTTAATTTTTTATTTCTTAATTTATTTATTTTCAGGCAGCAGCCTGGAGCCCAGCGACCGCCCCCGCCCCCACACCGAAGGAGCGAGCGTGGCGGCGGCTCAGGTGATGGCGGCGATAGGTCACGAGATGGAAACCGTGGTCGAAGATACCACCCTTATTAGACTAAGAGTGAGATAATTTAACAGTATTTGCAGCCAATAATTATTTATATTGTTGGTATAATTGCATCTATGTATCTTGTTTGGTCCCAATGAGCCAATACTTCAACTCAACCTACCCGAGTAATAACTGTAGCTTCCATTGAGAGAGATTTAACACTATTTTGATCACCAAAATATGAACTCACAACTGTTTCTGCACCTTAGTTTTTCGATTTCTCAGTCGTTATTGAGACTGACAGCTATAACTAGCAACCTGATATTGGAATTATTACATTGAATAATTGAATTGCATATATATATATATATATATATATATATACATATATATA